AACTTTTGAAGTGGGTGAGATATGGGCCTTGTCAATTCAGTACATGAAAAAGTGCCCTTTCATTAACTTACTACTTTCTCCCAATGTGCCTCATGTTGATTTTAAAGGTAAAAAAAAATCACAGAATTTAAAGAAAACACCTGATGTGTTTAAAAGGCATGTACACAAAAAGAAAGCCATAGTCTGGACCACCACACATAAGGAAATGCTTTTTAAAGGCCTCGTTGCTTTTAGGAAAGGGGTCCTGGTGGTTAGGTCTTCAAAGATAGGGATTACTCTGGTAAATGAAAAAGTTGCTTGCTCTGGCAGCATGGCCACTTTCTGAGGGTGACAAATTCCAGGCGCTTACCTTTCTGAGGGTGACAAATTCCAGGCGCTTACCTGTGGCTCAGTTTCCTTGGAATGAGGGTGGCTATCTAAAGAACTTTTAACTGAGTTAAGATTAAAAAAGGATGTGTACAAAAAATGGAAAAGGGGGGAAACCACCAAAGTGGAATTCAAACAAATAGCCAGCACGTGTAGACACAAAGTCAGAAAAGCTAAAGCACAGAATGAACTCAGGCTTGCTAGAGAGGTTAAAAGCAACAAAAAGGCTTTTATGGGTATGTTTGTAGCAAAAGGAAGAACAAAGAAACAGTGGGGTCACTCAGAGGAGAAGATGGTGAAATGCAAACAGGGGACACAGAAAGGGCTGAACTCCTCAATGCCTTCTTTGCCTCAGTCTTCTCCGATAAAGAAAACAATGCCCGACCTGAAGAATTTGGAGCAAATGATTCAGCAAAGGAAACACAGCCCAGAATAACTAAGGAGATAGTACAAGAATACTTGGCTAGTTTAGATGTATTCAAGTCTCCAGGGCCAGATGAACTGCATCCAAGAGTATTAAAAGAACTGGCAGATGTGATCTCAGAACCACTGGCAGTCATCTCTGAGAATTCCTGGAGAACAGGTGAAGTCCCGGCAGACTGGAGGAGGGCAAATGTTGTCCCTATTTTCAAAAAGGGGAAAAGAGAAGACCCAAATAATTACCGCCCAGTCAGTCTGACATCAATACCAGGGAAGATTCTGGAGCAGACCATTAAGCAAACAGTCTGTGAGCACCTAGACAGGAATGCTGTGATCACCAATAGTCAGCATGGATTTCTGAAAAATAAGTCATGTCAGACTAACCTGATCTTGTTTTTTGACAGAATTACAAGTCTGGTAGATGAAGGGAACGCAGTGGATGTAGCCTACCTTGATTTCAGCAAGGCATTTGACAAGGTGCCTCATGATATTCTTGTAAAGAAACTGGTAAAATGTGGTCTTGACTATGCTACCACTCAGTGGATTTGTAACTGGCTGACTGACCGAACCCAAAGGATGCTCATCAATGGTTCCTCTTCATCCTGGAGAAGAGTGACTAGTAGGGTGCCACAGGGTTCTGTCTTGGGCCCGGTCTTATTCAACATCTTTATCAACGACTTGGATGATGGACTCAAGGGCATCCTGATCAAATTTGCAGATGACACCAAATTGGGAGGGGTGGCTAACACCCCAGAGGACAGGATCACACTTCAAAACGACCTTGACAGATTAGAGAACTGGGCCAAAACAAACAAGATGAATTTTAACAGGGAGAAATGTAAAGTATTGCACTTGGGCAAAAAAATGAGAGGCACAAATACAATATGGGGGACACCTGGCTTGAGAGCAGTACATGTGAAAAGGATCTAGGAGTCTTGGTGGACCACAAACTTGACATGAGCCAACAGTGTGACGCGGCAGCTAAAAAAGCCAATGCAATTCTGGGCTGCATCAATAGGAGTATAGCATCTAGATCAAGGGAAGTAATAGTGCCACTGTATTCTGCTCTGGTCAGACCTCACCTGGAGTACTGTGTCCAGTTCTGGGCACCACAGTTCAAGAAGGACATTGACAAACTGGAACGTGTCCAGAGGAGGGCAACCAAAATGGTCAAAGGCCTGGAAACGATGCCTTATGAGGAACGGCTAAGAGAGCTGGGCATGTTTAGCCTGGAGAAGAGGAGGTTAAGGGGTGATATGATAGCCATGTTCAAATATATAAAAGGATGTCACATAGAGGAGGGAGAAAGGTTGTTTTCTGCTGCTCCAGAGAAGCGGACACGGAGCAATGGATCCAAACTACAAGAAAGAAGATTCCACCTAAACATTAGGAAGAACTTCCTGACAGTAAGAGCTGTTCGACAGTGGAATTTGCTGCCAAGGAGTGTGGTGGAGTCTCCTTCTTTGGAGGTCTTTAAGCAGAGGCTTGACAACCATATGTCAGGAGTGCTCTGATGGTGTTTCCTGCTTGGCAGGGGGTTGGACTCGATGGCCCTTGTGGTCTCTTCCAACTCTATGATTCTATGATTCTATGAGTGGAGACAATGGTGTCTTTGGAATATACGATTTATTCACACATCTATACAATCTGAGACTATGATGGAGAGGCTCACAGCACTAACACCCAAGGGTCTTGCTTCTCCCAGAGCCGCAGCCTTGGATCCCAGCAGGAATCAGGCATGGCTCTGTCAACAGCCTGCCAGCTTCTAGCTCACATAATTCAGCTCTCAGCTCTGGCCTTTGTTTTGCTAATTACCAGTTAGATGAGGAGGGGGCCCACCCATTTTCTATCTGGCAGAGCCACTTCCTTTCTTACCTTAATGGCCCATTCTTAGAGGGCCAATACCTCACCAGGAAGCTAGCCTGGCTATTCCAGGAATTGAATCCATGCTGGATCCAGGAATTAGAAGGGGCCCCAGGCATACAGCCCACCCAACCCCCAAACTCAATAAACAATAAAATGGAGTGAATGGAATGGGCCTCACTGGTCTCATTTTGCATTGCTTTTAAGATGACTGCATACTCCTAGCCTACAGGTCTGGCCTGGATTTGGTTGCAGTAGAACTTTGCCCCTGCCCAATCCCTGTTGACATGTTATGGTTTTGAGTAGTTTATAGTATTTGATATCGAACACTCAGGGCGCGACGGGGTGAGCTCCCGTTGCTCTGTCCCAGCTCCTGCCAACCTAGCAGTTTGAAAGCACACCAGTACAAGTAGATAAATAGGTACCGCTGCAGTGGGAAGGTAAACGGTGTTTCCATGCGCTCTGGTTTCCGTCACAGTGTTCCATTGTGCCAGAAGCAGCTTAGTCATGCTGGCCACATGACCCAGAAAGCTGTTTGTGGACAAATGCCGCCTGCCTTGGCCTGAAAAGTGAGATAAGTGCCACACCCCTTAGTCGCCTTTGACTGGACTTAACCGTCCAGGGGTCCTTTACCTTTACCTTTTACTCAGGGGCACATAACACCCAAAAGAAATTGGCAGGTGTCATTCACAGCCATTTTATGTGAACTTGAAGTAAAGACTGCATGGTTTAAGGAGATGACTGCATCTAATTTTAGAGATCACTGTAGACCACAGGAGGAAAAATGGTCTTTTTGGTAAGGCCCATGCCACACAGGCCTTTATAGGTCGAACCTCGAACCAATCTTTAACTTGTGCCCAGAAACCTGTGAGGTCTCAGTTAAGACAGCAGAGCATGGGGGGGCCACTAGGGGGCGCATCGGAAGATGGCTGACAATAACATCTCTCCGACCCACATGAGGTAATTTGGAGGCTATGATGGGGGTAATTAGCCTCCTTAACCCCTCCAGGATTGTGGGGGGGACGGCCCTTGCCTGCTGTGCCCTATACCACCCCCGAATTTGTGGGGATGGGGGCACTAGGCACAAAGCCCTCCTGTGGAATTCCGGCACTCCTCGATGCCGTCTCTGATCCGCGCCACTAGTTTGCAAGAATCTTCAAAAGAAACAATTTGGACGAGATAAATTGCACATACTTCAAGGAAAGAGGGGGAGTAAAGATTGCTGACAGAAGAGATCTCTGATAAAACAAGACAAGAATAAGATATGAGAAGATACGTAAAGATACGGTACGGCAAATGACTGAGGGGGGAGGGGGGAAAAACCCTCCTTTATTTCTCTATGTGATTAAACAAGAATCCCCTCCCCTAATGAGTCAGAAATGTCGTTTTAAGGACTTAAGTTGTGGATTTAAGGCTGTGTGGAGATAAATTTTCGAATCAAAGCAATGTTCCAAGACGAAGCTGGAAATTTAAGAGTTTTGGAATGACGCAGTTAAAAATGCCGTCGCCATTTTGGGAGGCACTGTCGGAGCTCTTGAGTCTGGGAGGAGAAAGAGAGAAACAGAGTTGTTTACATATCGTGGACTAACTCCTCAGTGGGACTTAAGAGTGACAACTGCCTAATTTATGATGGAAAGAGCGATGTTATCTACAAAGGAGATGATATATGGAAACCATCTGGACCTAGATTGGAAGAACGGGAAATTCACACAGGATTATTATATTTGCTTATCGGCTTAAGGAGACTAACAGAAGAGATCGTAAAGGAAAAAGAGAAATTATATGAACAAGATATGAGGTGGAAACACCAAGATAAGATTGGATAGAACTATGAACTCTGTTTGGACTGATTGGGACTGGTTTGGACATTATTTGGACAATAAGAAGATGATTTGAATCCCCCTTTGGATCTTGAAGTATGGGTTCCCCCAACAAAATTTAAAAATTTGGCTTTGTAATTTGGAATTTATGTGATGTGATTTAATTTGATGTGATTGGCCAGTTAATAAAAATTATTTAAAAAAAAAAAAAGACAGCAGAGCATGGTACCCAATGCAGTGCACTCCCTTCACACTCTGTTTACACCAGCATCCCCAATCAGCATGCCCAATGGTCAGGGCTGATGGGAGCTGTAATCCAACAACAGACAGAGGCCACCATCCAAAGAAGCATGGATGTGATGTAATCTGTGGAATTCTGGAGGAACACAACATCTTTCACTAGCTAGGGATGCCTTCAGTTGCATAATGAAGACATCTACTGCAGAAGGACAGCTAGTTGTGAGGCTAATACAAAGCCAGAATAGGGATTCAGTTCTCCACTTCAACGGTTTTATTCATCTAAAATGCTTGCTGCCGTTCAAAGTTCTGTCTCTGGAGAGACATCACCTTTCTCTTCTGTGTTCCCATGGCCATGGCAATGCAGAGTTCAGATCCTTAGATCCTTCAGACTGTGGTCTCCATTCTGTTTTGATGAGCTCCGTTTTAAAGTTCCAAGGGAACTTTACCTAGAGCAAAACTCATCCCTCACCTCTACTCATGTGATGCACACTTTCCTTGGACTAATATATCTGCCAAGGGCTCTTCATCACCAAGTCCCATTTCTGAAACAGAACAAATAAAAAGGACTCCAAGGTAAATGAAGTGTCTCCAGTCAAGCAATATTGAACTGAGCTTTAAATGAGTTATGAAACACATTCTCAGTGAAGCAGCCCATTATGAACCCAGAAGTCTATAGACTTCAGCGATTATAGTGAGTTATATAGTCTCCTGAAAATTCATGAAAACAAATAACATTATTCTGTTTACCTTGCTTTTTTTTTTTTTAACAATGGTCCACCATGGTGTAAATCTCATGTTAAATGATGTTCTGCAAAAAAACGCAAATACTGTTTTTTAAATAAATAAATAAATGGCAATGTGAATTCTGTATTATGATCCTTTGTGTAATATATTGTATTATGAGAGTTAGTGCAATAAATAAAAAGGTGACCTGTTGAATGCCAGGTCATCTGTGAATAAGATCCATTACCCTATTGCCTACTGGGAATTGTAGGTACAGAAATTAACAGACAAGATATTAAGCTTTTCCTATACGCAACAACGGCAGCAAGAATTTTATTAGCGCAGAAGTGGAAACAAGAGGAATTACCGACAAAGGAAGACTGGCAATCGAAGCTAATGGAATATGTGGAACTGGCCAAAATGATGGGAAGAATCCGCGAACAGCGGGACCAAAAGTTCATCAAGGACTGGACAAATTTGTAAATTATTTGAAAGACAATTGTATTCAATCAAATACGTTGGTAGGATTGCAAGAAGCTTTGTAAGGAAAGGTACAAAAACCACTGCAGATAAGAATAAGAATGTATGATGTTTTAATGTTTTTGATTTTAAAGCAATGGTTCAATAGTGAAAATTAAGCAATTTGAAATGAAAGACAGAAAATCATAAGGAAGGTTTGAAGGAAGTCAGGGCCCTAAAAAGCTAAATGTATAAAAGGAGATATTGCAATGGAAAGCATTATTGTAAAACTAATAAAAATGATATGGGGGGGGAAGAATAGTATTCTAAGCCGGAGAAAAATGTTTGGGGTCAGTATTGCAAGCATTTCAGCCTCCTGAGCTTTATATTTCTGAACTAAGAAATAAGTTTTTAAAAAGGAAAAAACCCCAGCAACATCACTATTAAGCGCCTTAAAGACCCAGTGAAAACTACAGTGTGCATAACGGGATACTGCAGGTGTCCCATGGGATACTGTCTAAAAGTATGTGATACTGTCTAAAATGTTAACTTTATGTGGATTTAAAAATTACTGAATACCTATTGTAGGTAATACCCTTTGCATTTTTGTTCATTCTACTTTAAAAAAAAAAGCCACCATGAACGTTATTTTTACAACATATTTGACTTGTAGCTGAGGTTTGGGGCTTGTGTGATAAAGGTGTAAAGTTATCTGTTTAATGATGAGCTGGTCAGAAGAGATGAACAATAAATATTTCCATTAAAGAACGATATACAACAGGACTTCACTGCTTTAGCTACCCTTCCACTCTGCTTCTAGCTCTGCCTTCTTGCTTAGGCCTATCCTGCTAAACTGGCTATGGGAAGAGCCCTTCAGAGTACAGTCACAAAAGGTTTCACAAAACCACTCATTCTATTCACCTTTTTCATCACAGCCACCTGCTTGATAGCTGTGTCCACAACAGCCATCGTGATCCCAACTGATTCCAATTTTGTTTGCTTAGGAGTTTTTTTAACCCTCAAGATCCCAGAGCAAGAGCATTGCCCTTGTCTTCACATATCATGAGGGAAGGAGTCACCCTGGAGTCTTGTGGGTTAACTGGTCTCATGGGTAAAAAGATACCTAAAGCAAAATATCTACCAGAAATAGTCAGCATTCTTTGCCCCATTTTGCACCGCACCCAATCAAAATTCCCCCCTGCAGTCTATGAGTAAGGTGACAAAGACGATAACAAGTGGTAAATTACGGTGGTTTTAAATTTCGTTCACTGCCGTAACATATTTTTGTACCCAAGCATTTGCTCTTTAAGCAGCAGTGCTGTTGGGAGTTTGCACTGCCACTTGGTTGGGGTTCCAAAGAAGTGCGCTGCTCACCAGCACCTGCCCACATTTGTTCTGGAACTGCTGCTTCCAAGGCAGTTTAGCATGGCAGTATTTGCATTCCCTCTTCCAGCCGAAAACTTGTTGCAAACTCGTGTGAGTTTCTTAAGACAACACGCAATTCCATCTGGCTTGTCCAGATTGAAATGTCTTCTAATATTTTCCTGGTAAGACCCCTTGAATCCCTCCTAAAAGAATAAAGACACGGCAGTCTTATTCACAAGTAACAAAAAGAAAGTTTACTCACAATCAGGCAGAGCACAGTGTGAACCCTGAAGGCAGGCTTTAGGCTTCAAGTTTCAAACATATACAAACAGGTTTACCCCATAAGGGAGATTTACCTAGTGACTGCAGTTAGCAGTCCAGCAGTTCACAGGACGAAAGGAAGCTGGAAAACAGAGAGAATGGCTGCATGCCTTGTCCTTTTACCAGGTCTGGAAAGGTCACACCCACCCACTAGTCACATGCAAGGAAGGATGCTCCAGGCCAGGAGGAACAGGAAGTTTTGGCTGGACCAAACTTTCCCTTGCATATCCACTCTAGCAAAGCAAGGAATGTTGTATTTGACTGCTCCCAGTGGATAACTTCCCACTAGGACCCCAAATGCGCTATCACTGCCCCCCTCAGCTTTGCATTGCCACTTTCCCCACATATGCTGGCAAAGGAAGAGATGCTAGATAGGCAGGCAGGCTTTCAAACATGTTGAACAATGAGGAATGGAGTCTGCTTTACATTTACCCAAAAAAGAATGAGCGCAGCATTTAGCCTTTGTCAATGGCCTAGTGTCACATCATCCCTCATCCCTTCTCCCCTCTCACTTTTCTGCCTCCCATGAATGTCTCAGTTTTGCAAGTGTTGCGGAACACATAGAAACCAATACAGATATAGTCAGACTCCACTCTGCGAAAGCTGTTATGACAACAGGGAGGGGAAAGGCATTCCCACCCATGCTGCAACGCAGATAAGAATGCACATTATCACCCACAACTTGTACTGCAAAGGGAAGTCATGCTATGAATGACTTCCGGTAGCTGACTCACATCCAAATGAATCACAGTAGTGAACCTTTAGTTGCTAGGCGCTGACCAAACAATGGGGAAGGTTATTATATCATGTCCTGCCCATAGGCACCAACTCTATGGGGCTGACGACAACTCAGTGCCTCCAAAGCATGTGCGGATGAAGCTGAGCCCCCCCTAGACTTGAGGGGCCACTGGGCCTCACCACAGCAGTGGGGGGCTCTGCTGGGCATTCCTGTGGTGGCAGAGGACCCCCCCCAGGCCTTGTGGCCTCCTCCCGATGTCATGTGCATGCCAATGTCACAGGAAACTCAGTGTCTGTGGTCCTGCCTCCGAGATCAAAAATGTTGCCTTTAACCGATCCAACTGGCTTTCATCTTGGGCATCTTATTGTTGTGCATTTGCATGCTCTTTGAAAGCCCCAGGGATAGAACTTGTTTGTTTTCATGGGCAGACTGCATAATAATAATAATAATAATAATAATAATAATAATTTATTATTTATACCCCGCCCATCTGGCTGGGTTTCCCCAGCTACTCTGGGCGGCTTCCAACTGAATATTAAAAACAATACAGCATCAGACATTAAAGCTTCCCTAAACAGGGCCTCCTTCAGTTGTCTTTTAAAAGTAAAATAGTTGTTTATTGCCTTGACCTCTGCTGGGAGGGTGTTCCACAGGGTGGGCACCACTACCAAGAAGGCCCTATGCCTGGTTCCCTGCAACCTCACTTCTTGCAGCAAGGGAACCACCAGAAGGCCCTCGGCGCTGGACCTAATTTGGGCCAGGTAGGGGAACTAATCTCAGGTCAAAGTGGCTAGAGAAAGAGCCACTTCTACCATTTGGCAGGCAGAAGTGGCCCACCTCGATCAGGGTGTAGATTTGGAGGTGCCAATAAAGCAGGGGATGGGGAAACGGCAGCCCTTGAGAGACTGTTGGACTCCCCATCAGCTTCAGCCAGCAGGACCGATCATCGGGGATGATGGGAGTTGTAGTCCAACAACATCTTGAGGGCCACAGGTTCCCCATCTTCGTGTGAACTGGTCTTCTTGCTTGCCTGGCCAATCTCTCTGAAGCACCTTCTGTTGGTCACAGATGGAGAGGAGAAGACAGGGTGGATCCCTAGCTAATACCCCCACGTTGTCCTCAGCTCTAGTTCCATTGTTAGCTTGAGCTGTGCAAGACAACCTTGCAATTCAACGTGTGGCTGCACCTTCTACACAAAAGCTGCCTCTGGATTCTTCTTTTTGAATATAAATTACTTGGCCTTGTTAATTGTCACCTGAATACTGATTCAGGAACAACAAGCCTTAAATCAGCCTGTTGGGCAACTGTTGGAGGCAGCGTGCACACTCTTAGCAGATAATATGCGAGAAATCTTCATCTCTAGGATTCAGCATTCTCTTCTCTATTTCTTTCTCTTTTGAAACATGTGAAGGAATTTTAGCTTGGATTATCCTCCATGTAAGAATAATTGGTCTTCGGAGCTTTGAAGGTGGTGTTGTTGCCCACTCATCCTCCCCCACCTTCTTCTGCTATGAGCTCAAATTGGTTTTTCAGGCTTTTGAAGCATAACCACAAAACCTCATTTGACCAGCAAACCATAGCAAGATAGGAAAAGCAAAACAAAACACTATTTGTGTATCACAGGCGATGATAGCTCTTCAACTCTAAACCAGGCAGAGGGTCTTCTTGGCAGTGGCACCTGCCCGGTGGAACGCAGTCCCACCAGATGTCAAGGAGATAAACAACTATCCGACTTTTAGAAGACATCTGAAGGCAGCCCTGTTTAGGAAAGTTTCTAATGTTTGAAGTTTTATTCTGTTTTTAGTGTTCTGTTGGGAGCTGTCCAGGGTGGCTGGGGAAACCCAGCCAGATGGGCGGGATATAAATAATAAAGTTGTTGTTGTTGTTGTTAGTTAGTTAACATTCAAGAATGAGTAAAGGCTTTTCAAAAATGGAAACTGAAAGTTGGGAACAGTCATGTCAGATTTCTTGGTAGGATTTGTGTTATCATACAAGAAATAGAGTTAGCTGGCAACTGCAGGAAACTGACATTCTCTGAGGTTTCAAGAGATAGCAATCACATTGTGAGTGCTCACTTTCCCCTCATATTCATATTCCCCAAGGGTGGCATTATCCTACAAAACCCCATCAATCTTGGGTATGTTTTGCACAACCTCCTTATGGAACATCACAAAGACAATTAATTCTCAATATGTGCATCAGTGTGCTTTTATTGAAAATGAACTTGTTGGGGAAGTATGGAGAGAGAGAGAGAGAGAGAGAGAGAGAGAGAGAGAGGAATAAAATACAATCTGTTTTCTCTCTCTCAACTTGCCTTTGTGCTAGATTGTTATTTAAAATCTGCTGAGGAACAGGTTTTTGTGTGGCTTTGGCATTAAAGACCATTGATTTCTGCACCACTTCTCCTCTTTTAAGTACTTTGTACCTGATGGGTTCTAAAGGGTGTACCACGCTCTTGGCTTATTTCTCTTTTAAGTCGGTGCCACTTTGTATTTCTTTTAAGCACAAGCTTCTTTGAGACTTCATAACAAAACAAAAACCACAGGCTATAGACGGCCAGGTAATAAACCAGGTGGGTCCAGTGCGTGGGAAGGGGCAGGAGGGGGGAGGTTGCATCTAACTGAGTTCAGAGTCCTATCCCCAAGCCACCATTTCTGGCTTTCTTCAAGCAATCTACACATTCAGGGCTCAAAGCTAATAATTTTCCTGTTGCTACTCAGTGGATAGGAAGCTTGTACTCTCCCCTCTCCACAGATTTATAAAATTATGGGTAGGATATTAAAAAAACACTTTGGGGTCTTTCTCTGCTTTGCAGGACACCTGTGGAAGAAGAAAAGGCTAAGGAGTAAACCCTATAGAAATCCAGAGTGGAATCCCTAAGGCCGTTGGATGGAGCCTTGTACGGCCCCTTTCAGCAACTCTGCAGCCAAGCTGGTGTCAAACGCATTGCTCTGCTTTCCTGTGGACCATATCAGCAAGGTCAAGAGGAAGACCTTGTTGCCTGGGCAGCCCAGGACCTCCAGACACACTGCCCAGGCTTGCACCCTGGAGAGGTCATTTTGATGCTGCTAGCGCAGCAGTTTGTCTTTACCCCTGGAGGAACACTCCATTGTCTCTCAAGACAGATGGGTGCCAACAACATCATGCTGCTCAGCTCAGTATAGGAGACCAGATCAGCATCTACTGAAGTTTTTTAAATTCTTTCCATGATGTTCAATAGCACTTGAATTGTGTCCTTGGCTCTTATAGCCAGGGTGACATGTGTGATTTATCTAAACTCTAGGCAAGCAAGTTCAACCCGAGGTCCAATGTGTAATAAGTCTCATGGCTGCCAGTTAATCCCCACGAGGTAGCAATTCACATTATTAATGTACTTCAATTAATAGTTTAGAAAACCCCCAGTTGAACTCTGCTGGCACTTTCATTAATTAATGGTGGCAATTAAGATTACGGACTACAGAAGCTTAATACAAAGGCCTTCCCTTAGTAGGCATAGACCACATATGCAAACTCCCCAAAGTTAGTGGTGTCCCATGTGCCCACTACCTGAAAACTGCCATGTCTTTGTTTTTACTATATAGGTGACATGCAATAAAACCAATATGAAGTACTAGAAAAGAACCAGCAACACAATTTTTTGTATGAATAAAATCATGATCAATCACCAAGAGCAACAAAAGTCTTAATTTAAAGAATAGATGATCAATCAACAGCAGATAAAAAACAATAAATGCAGTTAAGAATTGGAATTCTCCCAGAACTAAGTCTGGAAGAGGATTTTATTTTATATGCCACCCTTCAGCCGAAGACCTCAGGGCGTTTCACAGCATAAAAATACAAGATAAAAATGCAAGATAAAGAATAAAAGCAAGAACAAATCAACCCCCCAAACCTATTAATATATATATATTGAATGTTAATTAGCCGAAGGCTTGGTTGAAAAGGAATATTTTCTCCTTGCTCCTTAAGGTGTATAAGGTGTATAAGGCGGGTCTCCCTGGGGAGAGCATTCCACAAGCAGGGAGCCACAACAGAAAAGGCCGTTCTCCTGCTGACACCCTCCGTACTTCTCAGTTCATCTGGGAAGAGGTGGTCTCTTGCCAAGTGGTGGGGATACATTCTTGGTCTCAAAAGACACGGCAGCCACCAAGGAGCTGAGGAGGAATCAGGAAGTGGGTGCTGGCTACTGAAGTCTGTGGTTGCTGCAGCTTCTGAATAATGTTCAGATATGGAGGCAGTAACCTAAACGGCTTACCAAGGCATGAAAAATAGTGACCTCATCCTTTCTTTCTTTTTTGAAAGGAAGTGCTTATCTGCTGAAACTGGTAAAAAGTACTGTTCATCCCCAGTGCTGCCATCTAAGTATCAAGCTGTCAGGAGCTGGAGTCAAGCGTACCATCAGCCACCAAAATAAAACCCATAATGGTGTCAGTGCAATTAACTCTTTATTCAAGAAACCAGCAGCTCTTCCCTGTAGGTCTTGCTCCAGCAAGGCAGTTGCAAGCACTGAAGGTGCTTCCCAAGCAGTCACAAACTGCGCCTGTGCATAACACCCCCTCTGCTCAGCCCTCTTCATTTCTCTGCTGGTTGCAGCAGGAGGAGAAGGCTCCCTGGCTTCTTCAGCAGCCTGCCTGATCTCTGCCTCCTGGCCCCACTCCCCTCCAGCCTCTGCTTCTGCCTCAGAGTCTGAACTGCCCTCTGCCACAGCCTCCTGCTCACCAAACCTTGTTCCTGTAACAAGTTTAAAGACAAATTGCAGTAAAAGCTTGGAACTCCTTCTTTTTAATATTTTAGGATAGAAATGGCAGCACTTTATTTGCAAAGCAGGATTGTCCCTTGGTAGCCTTTGAATTAGAAGAGCTTTGATCTTCCCAAATGAGAGGCAATAGGTGGTAAGATGATAGACATGTGGAAAGGTAAGACCAATTAAATGAGTTCATACATTTAGAGTAATATTTTGGCTGCTGACTGAGAACTTTAAACCAACTTGGGAAGGTTGTGTGGGGAAAGTGTTGTTCCTTTCTTTGAGAAAAGAAAATCAGCTTTTCCTCACTAGTAGGGGGTTATACATGCCTTATGAATTTTTTCAGGTTTGGTCCTGGCTGTGAGCTGCACAGCCAGACATTTCTCCTTGCTTTTTGTTCCATAACTATG